TCCCCACAGTCCAGAATATTTAAATGTCACTTTCAGCTCCTCATTAGTGCTAAGCTCGAGTAGCTCCTCTTGTAATATCACATTCTCCACTTCCGTTTCATCAAATGGATTCCATCGACAGAATATCTTCAAATCTGAATTTAAAAGCATCATGCAGGGCAATCAAATGTTGAACGTATGTCTGAATATCTTCATCAAGGCCATTCTACCTGCGACAAGTTTGAAAACTGTGAAAATTCGCGCCGACCAATATTTTCCTTCATAAATTTCAATTTACCGAGAAAAGCTGAAATTACACTCTTTGTTTTTATTAAATTGAGGCTGTCCTCTTGTAATTGTAAGATGAGGTCATTAAATTTTTTGAACAAATCTGTCAAATACGCGAGTCTGCTTTAAAATTGATAAAGTTTTTTTTAAAATTAGGATCTTTACTTTTCAAAAACTCTAAAACTGAGTCAAAAAGAAAATAAAATCTTGATAAACATGCACCTTTCGACAACCAGCGTACTTCGGTATATTACAGCAATTTTTGGAAGTCTTCATCATTTTCATCACACAATTGTGCAAATAAACGTGTATTCAATGCATTGCTTCTTATTTTGTTAACTGCATTAATGGAAATATTTCAAATCTATACCTATATTATCAGGATGACACCTTCTTAGATGATCTTCCAGCTTTGATGGTTTCATAGAGTCATTGCTCAAAACTTTGTTGCATAAAAGGCATGTGGGGAATCGTTTGTCTGCCTTTGATGGAAGAAAACCAAATTTTAAATATTCAACACTGTACTGACGACACTTTTTTTTAGATTCGGCCATGTTTTGTATCAATTACCTACCTGTAAATGTGTAAGTAAATAAATAAAAAAAAACTTTGTTTTAGTAATCTTAAGGCGATTCGAACTTAACAGGATATGGCTATTTTAACATAATATGATTAATCAATTATTATAAATATTATGAAATAAACAAAGTTCCGGCTGCAAACTGTTTCTAATTATTAAACGCAATAAATCGCTAAGATCCATAATAGAGTTTTATGAAAACTGCTGAACTTATTTTAATGTGATATAAAATTATTATTTCATCTATTATATTTTAATATATTTTTGTAAATTCTATAGAAACTTTTAAACAATATTTTGATATCAAAACTCCGCAATAATTAAATGAATTAGATAGGTAATAAAAATAAAATAGGGACGAATAAGTTCAATCTTTATATATATCTTCCATAAGCCATAATAGAACAAATAGATGAGCCAGAAGTGGCAGGTACGATTTATATCTACACCGACGGTTCTAAAACAAAACAAGGCTCAGGATGCGAAATATACTCCAGATTCTTAAACATAAAATGGGCTGTGAGCAATAGTGCCAGTGTAGTTCAAACAGAGCTAACGGGGATTATCATAGCAGCAAAAGATATAACCAGAAATAGTATCACTGGAAGGAACATGCTCATCTATACAGATAGCAGACAAGCACTACTCACCCTGAACAGACCACGAATTTATTCAGGGTTAGTACTAGAATGTCATGAAGCTTTGGCCGAAGTATCCATCAACAATGTGGTCACCTTAAGATGGAGCAAAGGTCACATCGAAAGGTAACCGTCTTGCCGATTCACTAGCCAAGAAAGCAGCCAACCAAATACTTTTTGGACCTGGCCTTTCTATTAGTCTGACAAAATCGGTAGTGACAGACCTAATTAAAGAACATTTCCTTGTGAAATTCAAGGAAAGATGGGATGAAACAAGAAATTGCAGAGTTGCCAGGGAGCTCTTAAGTTATCCTGACAACACGGCAGCAAACAAATACTTGACTATGACTAGACAGAATCTGCGCTTAGTCACAGGCATTCTGATTGGTCATTGCCAAGTACGAAAGCATCTGCATATCATGGGTCGGTCAGACTCCGCACTCTGCAGAGGGTGCGAACAAGAAGATGAGACCATCGAGCATATAATTTACGATTGCCCGACGCTCTCATTTATTAGAAGATTTGTTTTCGGCGAGTATCGGTTCCCGAGAAATTCGAGAAACATAAAAAAAGGTCCACGACGAATATAGAACCTCCTTTTTTTGAAAAAGATAAGAGTTTAGGACATTACGATGAAGATATCTTATTTCTAAGCTTAAATAGGAATGTTTTTTTTTTCTTTAAAAGGAATAAATAAAAAAGGATACACACCCATTTAATCACATTTAAAAATATTTTTATTGATATTTAAAGAAAGCTCAACTCTTAAATAATGTGAGGGATGAATGTGATACACTTTCACGAGTTTAGCAATATTGGGCTCAGTCACTTAAAAACAGGCGTAAGTCTCAGTGTTCAGTAACATGCAGCCCATTTCTCTTCTTAGTTAGCAGAGTTGTTACTGCACTAAATCCACGCTCAGATAAATACGATTGCAGGAATGCTATTAGGAATCGTTGAACCGTCGACCATAATTTAGGATACAGTTGTGGGATTGGCTTCTGCAAGCAAAATTCGTGGTAACCATTTTTTTAATTTAATTTTTAATTCCTCGTTTGTTGTCAGTTTTATAAGTTCTTCTTCCAACTGGGATGATCCTGCTGTATCGACATTTGAAATAGGATCTAACACCCAGGATGGTATGACCATGCTCAAAATATGCTAGAATCATTCTTTGAAACCATCGTGAATATTCTCCAAGTGTTGACAGTAAACAAGCAAGTCATCATCGTTGATGTTGGAAGATAGTGCTGATAATCTAGGGAAGTTATTAAATTCACGTCTGCCGATATTATTCTTTTGTGAAGTTGCAATTTGTCCACGAAAGCATCAACAGCATTTTTTGTTTCATTCAAGTTTTAAGTCGTCGCCTTGATGTTGGAGATTAACATCATTAAACAATTTGTAGAGGTCTGTCAAGTAGGTAATATCATGCTTTGATGTGATGAGGTTATCGCGTAATTCTCTGTCTTTGTTTCCCAGGAACTCTATCATAGAATCAAACAGATTGTAAAAGCGAATCAAACAAGTACCTCTTGATAACCAGCGCAGTTCTGTGTGAAGCAACAAACGGTTGGAATCCTCATCATTGGTAACGCGAAGCTGACTAAATTAAATATTTACCGATATCTACCTGAGAGGTAAACTGAACTATGTAGACATAGTGCAGTTTTATAAAAGGTATATTTTTAAAATCAGCTCATCGATACCTTTCCAAAGGTATACTATACCATATATTAGTGATGTCACAATAAAAGTTGACCAAAAAAAGACTATAACACTATGTTAAATAAACTCCATGTGCACCTATTTTTTTTACCTCTCACGTTAGTCATATTATTTATAGAGGCATATTGTGGGTATATGACAGAATGTCATAGAAAATTTGTTATATTCATGTATATTAAAAAAAATGTATTACTTAGATTATTAGTAAACAATACATAGTGACAATAATTGGGGCTAACTGCATTTCTTGTCAAAATATAAATAATATAATATAAATATGGAACACAAAAAGTGTTCAAACAATAAACAACATTCAGTCTGCTCTACTGAAAACTTAACAAGAATGACATACCTCCAAGGTACTGATCTACTCTATTAAATAATTTTCAAAACTTTGACTTAATCATTATTTTATTGTTCCTTTTTTTTAGTCTATTATGTGGGACTGATCTTATAAAATAAACATTTTAGTTTACTTGCCAATAAAAAATATTTAAAAAAATTATGAAAATGATTAAATTTACAATAAAAACTGAAAAATAGTAGGTAAAATTTCATATTGTTACACAAAAAACAATGAAGTTTTCTGCATAATCTGAAAAATATTCAAAAATAATTTCAAAATATGAAGAAAAGTCAGCTGGCTATAACTAATAATGTTTAGAGATGGTTTTCAACGTATTGAAAACGAAACAAATATTACAATAACTAAATATTCCCTTTTTAACATAACCAAACACCAATAATCCTATATTCTTTAATGTAAATCATGTTTGTATCCCCACTACCCTGTTCTATGGGTCACTCTGACTTTGATCCAACGTTGCCATATTTAGTAATTTCTACTTTTTTGGTAAATTTCAGCTTTTTTAGGTAATTTTAATAGATTTCTTTTCCTATTTAAATAATTGTGTTACTAAAAATGATTGCTGAAAACGTTAAGTTATAACTAGGGTTGGGCGATTATATAAAAACCGTATCAACAAGTTACTCCTGCTATGTAAAAAGACATAAATTTGAATTTTTTTATTATAAGTTATCCAGCCTTTCAGAAGGCGAGGCAGGAATAATTGCAGTAGTGCTGAACCAACATTAGGTAGCTTCAAACATTTCCATTCAAAGTTTTATCTATTTTACTGCATAGAGTGAACAAAAGGTTGATAAGTACACTCGATACTCTTATTATTCAATAGTAAAGTTATAATAATACAACAGGCAATGTCTTTATCACAACTTTGATTCATTTAATTCACGTTCAACGTGCATAAAATTCCAATCACAATCAATAGTTCTGCTTTGATATTCGTTTAATAGTGTCAACATTTATTAAGAAATAAAACTATCGTGCTACTGACGATTGTCGACAATCCAACAGTTGCAACAGTAGAATTATTCCAGGCCCGCCACGCGCATGAGCGATGGAAAGTCCTTGTGGAATGTTCTTCAGTGCTCGGCATTCGCCTGCTGTTTTTCCCTATATATTCCCAACGCTCAGAATTGAAAACATTCACTTTTCCTGCCAAGCAACAATCTGATGTAATAAAGGCGCTTGGAAGATCGATTCATGGGCTGCCAGCTCGACCAGTAATAGGTAAGATTTTCCACGGTGTGTTATCCTATCCGATACTATCAGATGCATTTCGCAAATCGATAATTCTATAGTAACGGATTGTTTTACAGTGCATTATAGATAACACCTACCATGAGTTAAATGTTATTCAAAGCAGACGGCAAATGTTTGTTAATTTGATCGCTATCCACGGTGGGTCTATCACCAGAGCTGCAGGATGGAAGTCGAAAACGAATATAGGTAAGTTGATTTTTTATTTACTTTCTTTACAAATATTTATAGTTAGTGGTAATTATATAAATCGATAGAGCTTGAACGTAATATCTATAACTACAAATATGTATGTCACTTAAAAATAAAAACCTTGTAGGTATCACAGTTTTTAGGCACCTGGTTTTTAAGTTTTACATTTATTAAAAGCAATGCTGTCTTCTAATTATTAGGACCAATTAATTACACATACACAATTTAATTATTTTTTTAATACAATACATTTTTTAAACGATTACTTTTATAAAATAGAAAGCATTTTTTGAAAAATAATGTTTATTTCCTAATGATCCAACTTTTTTATTAAAAAAATTAATCCAATTAAGTTTGATGTACAGCTATTAATTCTACAGGGTGTTTCATTGGGAAAGGAATGAAGGCCACCTAGGTGCCTCGAAATAACCCATACTTATTGGGATTTTCGCTATTTATAACCGAAATACAGGGTGTTTTATCAATTTTGCCGATTTATTTCTTGACTCATTAAGTTACGAACCATCTTGTATATACTTTTGACATTTTGCTCACCTATTCTCCACAACTTACCGAATTTACCAAGTCATTAACAAGAAACAAAATTCAGGTTCGTCTTAACAAAAAAATAAATAAATAGATGCGTCCATTCTTAAAACATGCCAAAATTTGTATTTTTATTTATCATATTTGAAAAGAGATCAAAAACCTGAATCCAATGATGTGTTTTTTATTTTTGCGCAGATAATTTTACTACTAAAATTGTTATTTTTTAACAATTCGAGTAAATAATAACGGATGGGATTTTGTTCATTTTATTGTCCTAATTAAGATTATTTAAGCAAGGCTATTTTTAAAAACTACAGTATGTTGATACTTGTACTTGCATACATCTACAATCTACAGCTAGGGAATATATAATTACAGGGCCTTATTTTGGACCAAATATCACAATCATTTGTCTTTCGAAGACGAGAATTTTAATAAATTTTAAACAACAAAACAGGAAAAGAAAAATAAATATACTACATCTACAACAACCAACAACAGGAACACCAAGGTTTAAAAAAAAAATAAAAAATCTTTTTACTGTCAAAAACTATAAGGTTCAAAATGACCTATGTGTTGTTTGATGAATTTTCTTGTCGTTTTCAAAATATGGTTGACAAATTTTCTAAGTACAGCTGGATTATTTTTCATTTCTTCGCATGTTTTTTCTACTCTTAGGATTAGAGTTCGGTAATCTGCAATGCCAGTGATTAGGAAATTTTTCATTTAAAAATTCTCTTACAATTATCCTGTATTACGTTGAAGCATCATAATGCTCAAAATACATATCGGCAGCATCGCCGGTCAGTCGTCAGTCTGCGAGGGAAAATTCTTGGTATAAAAACGCCGTACCAAATATTGACTGAAAATTAGTATTGTGAATGATTTTCCCTTATAGTCTGGTTCACAAATTCGTCATAAACTTCGATTCGAAATGGCATATAAAACAAACCATCAAGTGGACAATAGGGGCCGACAAAAATTGCAAAAATTATAAACAACTGTAAAAAAGGATGGTTTGGTTTTCTGAAAATATTTTAAAAACTATTTGAGATAATCAAAATTTGAATAAAGTTGCTTAAAGAGCAGAAATTTCCTAAAAAAAGTTCTACCTCCCGGAACTGTACCGATATTTATAATTTTAATTTGGAGGTGAAAATTGGACTAAAAATGGGTAGTCCTACTATCTAAACACACAAATAAACAATAATCCGTCAACAAAAAATGTTTATCCAATTTTTTTAATTAACTATGCTTTTGTTAATTAGTTGAAAGTTAACATAAAATCGAGACAGGCTAAAATGGTGGTTCCCACCTTATCAAGACTGAGGCCCACAAGGGTAAACTCGTAGCGTAACAAAAACGAGAAATGATTTAATTTGAAACGAAAAACCGAAAGCCGATAGTAGTATTAGGACGTTGAATTTTTTGTTTTGTGAAGCATTGGCATTACTTAGGTTAAACCATATGATGATTTTCACAAGCCTTGATTTTTAAAACCATTCTATATCGCCATTTGATTAGGGTTTAAAAACTTGTTCGAGCAATTTATCCAATAATAATTGGCCCCTTTACCTCTTAAGCCTGCTCATGTAAAATATTTGTGCTCCTTACTTCGCCTATTTCAATTCTATTAATAAAGGACAGAAGGATGAGTATTGCAACTATGTTAAAAGAAATAAATTGGCTTTCAGTTCAGAGTTATGTTTAGTACATGACTGATATTTATTTATAAAATAAAAATAACATAGTACCATCGCATCAGATTCTATTAGAAAAAATTCAATATAATTCGCAATATCACAATTATAATACAAGAAGCCAATCTGACTTTCATGTACGGCAAGACATCACTAAAAGTTCCCAAAATACAATTTTTATTAAATGTTTAATTAATTTTATAGACTGCCTACAGAAATTAAAAACAAAACAACAATAAATGTATTCAAAAGTAACCTCAAACAATACTTGATAAATAAACAGAACGGATATACTTTGTTGTGATAATACTCTTTAAACCTGCCTATTTTAAGTATTTTCCTTAATTTATTGTTATTTTACCCCTCGTTTTACTACTTACTATGTTTAAATTATTAATAGTTTTGCGACAATTAGGTTATAGCAACTTATAGCCACAAAACTATTTTTGTGTTAAAGTAGATCCATAGAGAACAATATAATTTACAAATGCCTTCTTTCAACATACAAATAAATGATAACTTTATAATTAAAATTAAAAACACAACAAAATACCTCGGTATCATAACACAGGTCCACAAAAAAAAAAGTGGTCTGTGCTGGGTGTTCGACAAAGATTTTCCGACGTATTTTTTACCGCTGAACACGAATCTGAAGTCAAAATTGGGGGTCAAACTGCAAAAAACGGAGAAAAATTAAAAAAACCGATAAGATCCATTATTGATTTTTTTGTTGGTGGATTATTGTTTATTCGTGTGTAGATAGTACCAAAATTTTGTTATTCCTTAATATTTATATTTAAATGGTTAAAATAATTTTTTTTTGATGAAGCTCCTGATTCGGTTGACGCGCCCGCTACCCGTTTTTAGCCCAATTTTCGCCCCTAAATTAAAACTTTTCTTTACGAAAGTTTCTGCTCTTTAATGATTTTTTTTTTTAAATATTGATTATCTCAAATTTTTGAAATATTTTCAAAAAACCCAACCTTTCTTTTTTATTACCTTATTATTTATAACTTTTTCAATTTTTGTCAATTTTGTCGGCCCCTGATGGTTTGTTTCAGATGCTATTTCGAATCGAATGAGACCAAAATCCTAATTTTCGGTGGCCTAGTCTAGGTTTATGACGAAATGGCACTTGTGAACCAGACTATTAAAGCATATGGATTTTCTGTCGTTCAAATGATCGAGTTCCGTATGTTGAAGACTCTTGTGAACTGGGTCTCATCCGTAATTATACATTTACATACAAATTCATCGATTTTGGACAAAGAACGGCTCCAAGGGGGGGGGGCTATGGGTGTTTTTTATTCAAAAAAATATGCTAAAAACGGAATGGCTAATATTTTGTCCAATATTTATATTGTACAATGTAATAATTATACAGGTTGTTACATTTTTCTCTAGATGCAGATGTATACAGGTACAATTAACATAATATATGTAGTATTTAAAACTGTCATTGATTAAATAATGACGTAATAAAATAAACAAAATCCCGCCCGTTCTCAAAAATAAAAAGCACATCATTGAATTCAGGTTTTTGTGCTCTTTTCAAATATGAAAAATACAAAATTCAAATTCAGACAAACTAGGTGTTGTTATAAGGATGACGAATTTAATTATTTATTTTTTGTAAAAACGGATCTGGAGTTCGTTTCTTGTTTATAACTTGGTAAATTCGGTAAGTTATAGAGAATATGTGAGCAAAATGTCAAAAACATATACAAAGTGGTTCGTAACTTGAGTCAAAAAAGAATACAGCAAAATTGATAAAACATCCTGTATTTCAGTTATAAAGTGCGAAATACTTAATAAGTATGGGTTAGCTTTTCACAGGCTAATGCAGGGTACAAAACCCAATAAGTCACCCACATAGCGCCAACCAAACAATGCTATATCAGCAAGTAAAAAGGGATAATATTCTAGCTATGCCTACTGATAGAGCCATAACCACATACAAATTTGAAAGAAAATTTCAAATTCAAATACCAGCCCGAGAATCCTGGAAACAGGGACCTCCCGTACAGGCTGAACTCGTCTGGTACACAGACGGTTCAAAAACCAATGAAGGAGACGGTGCTGGAATCTATGGACCCAAGTCGAAATCAACGATTTCTTTGAGTTTAGGAAAATGTGCAACAGTGTTCCAGGCTGAGCTAATAGCAATACAACACTGTGCAAGAGAAATATTAAATCAGCAAGTATCAGGCAAAACTATTGCCATATACTCTGATAGCTAAGCAGCTCTAAAGGCAATTCTCTCACCAGAAATCAAATCACGACTGGTGAAAGACTGTCTAGAATACCTGACAGAGCTAAGTAGTAGTCAAAATAAAGTGACCCTAGCCTGGGTTCCAGGCCATGAGGGATATCAGGGAAACGAAAAGGCCGACGAATTAGCCCGAGAAGGCTCAGATAAGGCCATGACAGGCCCCGAACCCTTCTGTGGAGTTGCTAAGGCATTGTGCAAGGCATCCATTAAACAATGGATGCAAAAAGAATCTCAGGAACAACTATCCAAGACTGAAACAGGCCAAACAGTTCATCAAGGAACCATCGGCCAAGTTCAAGAAAGACCTACTGGATCAAAAGCGTCAAATCGTTAGGATAACAGTAGGCCTTTTTACTGGACACTGTCGCCTCAAAAGGCACATGAGTGTCATAAATCCAGCAGAAGAAGCAACTTTGTACAGGTTCTGTGAAGAAGAAGAGGAAACATCATTCCACGTCCTGTGCCAATGTGAAGGCCTGGCTAGAATGAGGTTTCTAATATTGGGCGAAGAAAAGCCAAATGCATGCAACTACATGCGGGAGCCACGGTCAAAGCTAATAAGCCTAATAAAAAAGACCAGGCTAGACGACATACTTTAAAACAAACATAGTCCCACAATAGATCTGAAAAGGTCGCGGTGGACAAGGACAAATAACGTCCAACTCCTAATCTAATCTAGTAAAGCAAAAGAACCTGCCAGGCCAATGATACACTACATGATGTACAGTACAGGTATAAACACGTTTGTACTTGTGTTGAAATTTCTATAAAGAAAGGTAGGAGATAAGGTTAGGGATTATATAAAGAGCGAAACAACTGCCAGGTAACAATAGCGCGCTCAGGCCGGGCAGGTGTTTTCTGATGCGCTGAGTCATGTATGAGGCGCGGTTACTCAAACCGCTGTATCTTCGTTAGTTTTGCTCCGATTCATCTCAAATTTTCACACAATATTTTTGAAAGGTTCTCCATTCACAAATTATAAAAAAATGCAAAAAAGTTTTAAACTTTACCCTCCCCCCCTCAATAAATGAAGATAGAGAGACTTCCGTATACCGGAAAATGATCTTTTGCAATACTATAACGATAATATTAATGCAGAAAATGTAACTTTAGTAATACCAGTGATGGATGAGGTTTTTAAACTATAAAAACTAAAGCTTATGGTCTCGACAATTTAAATATGCAAATCATCATAATTTGTTGTCCAAGTGCATAGACCATTGATACTTTCCGGGTATTTGAAAAAGGCTTATGTAGTACCCTTACCAAAAATCTCGAAACCATAGGAGTATAGTCAATTAAGAAATTTTAGTCTTTCCTAGATTCCTAGACAAAATATTAAGAACGTCAATTAAGAAGTCATCTTGATACTGCTAGGATATTATCATTAAACCAATCAGGCTATGCTTGAGTACTGTTACAGATGATATTCTTTATTCTCTTGTCAATAACAAACTTTGCATTTAAATTTTGCTAGACTACTTTCGTGTTTTTGACAATCGAAATCATTAAATACTGGTTTCAATCGCACACTATGTAGATTTTAGTACTACCGCCATTAGTTTAATGAGATCAAAAAACGTATACGGTTTTTATAGACATGTATTGCCGGTTCCTATGTACCACAGTGAGTACAACATTTGGTCAGTTTTAAAGAATTGCATTGGAAAAGAACTAAGCAAAATAACTATGCCTGTAGTTTTCAATGAGCCGCTCAGTTTCCTACAACGCATGGCGGAGTACATGGAGTACGCCCACCTCCTACGAATTGCATCTCAACAAGAAGATCCCATGACAAGGATGCAGTATGTCATCGGTAAGTTTCATTTTTTCAATCAACATTGATTAGAATTGCAATAATATGTATTTTTCTAATTTTGACATATAAAGTGACATATTTTGTAATCGCAACAAGTGCCAAAACGATATACTTTACGAAAAGTTGATTATGTTACCAATTACGAAATGAAAATAAATAAAAATGTCTCTTTTTGGTTTTCAATGAAAAAATAAAAAAAATCGAAAAATGGCAATGAATAGTGACATTTCACATTTGACAATTTGACATTACGTTATTGAAAACTGCCTAGAAATATTAAGGTAAAATGTTGACTACTCCTTTAAGGATAAAGGGTAAAACCGGTTTTTTTTTTTTTCAAATTTCCCGCGGGTAATGTCAAAAATTAGATCGGCAACACTGCACATGTACCTTGTTTTTATTATTACCATCGAACAAAAAAAAAAATGTAGGGCAATCACATACAACAATTTTCTGAAATATTTGATTGGAAGTACATACAAAAGAATAATGGTGAATTATTTTTTAACCAAACACAATTTTATAAAAAATAAAGTCAAAATTAAAAAAAAATTTGTATTTAACACGTTACGAAATGTTGTTTTGTGTTACTAGTACATTTTGCGGAACCTCGCTCTGCTCGTCCCGCAAACATTTACTCGTTACACACAAAAAGGCATTTTGTAACTGGTTACATAAATAGCTATTATGCAACCAGTTACGAAATGGTTTATTTTATGTAACGGGTGATTATGAACATGAACGAACAACACATAATGCCAATTCATAACATATTACATACAATATTTTTTTCTAATTTTGACTAGATTATTTATAAAATTGTGTTTTGGTAAAAAATTACTAAAACCTATGTATTTTTAATTGCATATGCATAACTTCATTCATATTATTGACAAATATAAAATCATATTAAATTATTAAATTATTCTCGACTTATAGTGTTTATATTGCTTGTTAAAATTATTTGGTTTTTAAGAAAGTGGGTTATTTTGTGGTGTATTGTGTTTTGATTATTTTATGCTGATTTAGATTGAAAAATAAGGAACAAAACAACATTATTACTAAGTTGTAAGTTTATTGCCAAATTCTATTTTTATATAGTCAGCCTTCCCTTTTTTGATATAAACTTTCAATAAAAAATGTATACATATATTGATTTAAAAACAAAAAAGGTTTATTTTTATTTGTTTAATTTTCGCAACTGGTGACATAATGAAATTTTCGTAACCAGTTTCATATTATTTTGACACTTGCTGCGATTACAAAAAATGCATATGTCAAAATTAGAAAAAAATATTAATGTATTCAGAATAAACTTTTTAAGTAATTACATTTTTTGTACTAATAGTCTTTGAAACATTCCACTTTGAACTATTTTATTATACATAAAGGTCCTATATTAAATATTTTAATAGCGTATTATACAGGTGAAAATAAAGCAGAAAGTTTCTATATACATAATGAGGTGCAAACAATTTTCTACTAGTCCGGTCATGCTCTAATCCCTCTCTGCTTTATTTGGGCCTTTTACTGTATTCCCTTTTCCGATTACCAAGAATATGCGATGAAATAAGCCAATCATCGAAATCCCACCTAATGGAATGACTATGGTAAATGGGACGACTATAGCCACAGCCGATCAACAGTCTGGAACACACTAGAATATTCGATGAATGATAAAAAAATTGCAATTTTTGGTGAATGCATATTCTAGAAACTGCCGGAGGCACCAGTCTAATAATTGGTAGGTCCGCCTACGTATATATTGCCATCTATAATCTTCAAAGAAAGTTCTGGTGAATGCGTGGAACCTCCACATTTGTATATAAATAGATACTTTCGACATTTGTTAGTTTAGTTTAGAGATAGAGATTGTAGTGTGAAGATACATTATCAAAGTAAATATAAATCAGTGCAGTTTTGAGTACAAATAAATTATTATTTCAGTACTTTTTTACACCGGAAAAGAGGGATACAATTTTTGAAATAGTTTTCACATTCAGAATATCAATTTTTTTAAAAGTCCAAAGTATTTTTCGGTACCAGTTTCGAAAATGTCTTCAGGGGGTTTTCTTCAAAGCAGCGTTGCTCCCTTATATGAAATTTTTGGATACATGTTTATAGGAACTTTCTGCTATATTTGTACGTCCAATTTTGGAACACGCTGTATATTAAATTGTTTTCCGCAAAACAATCCCCAATCTGATTGAATTAAAACTCAACTCCGCTTCTATTTAGGGTTTGCAGTAAGTGCTTTGGCCTCTAACTGGGAAAGGTTGGGAAAGCCTTTTAATCCATTGCTAGGCGAGACGTACGAGTTAGAAAGGAAAGAATTTAAAATTATATGCGAACAAGTCAGCCACCATCCTCCTGTGTCAGCTTTCCACGCCGAGAATGGCGACTGGGTTTTCCATGGATCCATACATCCGAAACTAAAGTTTTGGGGCAAGAGCGTCGAAATACAGCCCAAAGGAGTGGTTACCGTGGAATTTCCAAAGTAAACAATTAACTCGGTGTGGTTTTCTTGAAAACAATTATAAGGTTTCGGACTCTCCAAATAAAAACATAATTCTTAAAACTTTCTCGAACTTATTTATAGCGTAACAATGGTCGTTACAGCATACTGAAGGTCACACAGGTATTGATTTTAAAAGGACACTCGATTTGTATAAGGGCTGTTGTTTTGGTCAATACCCATTTAAAAGCAATATTAGAAAAATGTGTATACACAAATATAAATCTATTTGAATTGACTATTTTATTATTATACAAATAAATAAAAGATTATCAGTAATATCGGTAAAATAATAGTTTTATTTGTTTGTTATTTGCCTCTCAATATTTATTAAAAATTATAATTATTGACAGCACCAGAAGAAAAATTCGAAATATATGTAGGGGCTCTTATAGTCTAGAGAAGACAGGAGTGCAGTAACTTAATTTGCAGAACGTAGGTTCAAGAGGAAGACATTTTATTTATAGCTCATCCTTCAATGCTTATTTGTAGTTAAAATTAAAATTTTAAACAACCCAATAAAAGTTTTCGTTTAGATTTAATCATTAATTTTTCTATTTTTCATTATACATGGTATTGAAAAATAAATTTAAAACATTATTGGTTTAGCTAACTACGGTCCTGTGTAAAATTGAGATATTTAAAAAGTGCTTACTTGAAAAAGTAATATTTTCCGTATTTTATCATCATTTTTAAACTCTGAAGGTGACAAATTTTTAAAAATATGTTTTTATTAAAAAAATTTGTGCCTCTAAAATGACATGCTAAAAATTAAGTTTGCTAATTGGAAAATATTTGATTTAAATGTTCATAACTATAATAGTAAAATGTATAATACTTGTAAATTGTAAAACATCGCCCACATTTGATTGTCTTCTTACTGACTAAAAATACTATACAAAAAACTAGAATGATTATTCATGATTTTTAAACAATGACCTTTTTGACAGGGCTGATTAGGCTATACCCTAAAATATTTAAAAAAAGCATGTGAATTATACATCAAATTTTAATAAAACTTTCCTCAAGATTCCTTTTGCTTACATTCGATATTTGTTTTGTTTTAAAAAAACCTTCAATATCCTCTCTCATGAGACCATAACCCAGAGGTCATCAAAATTATTTTTATTCATTTTAATTTATATTTAACTATTCTTAAGACATTGTTTCCTGGTAAATATTTTTAGGATGTACACTAATAGATTTGGAGAGTCCGAATCCTGGTATTCTAAGTTCTTTTCGTCTCGTATACATATTAAAACAGTCTACCTGAAATATTTTCCCAGGAGAAGTTTTTTTGGGAAATCCCCGAGATCGGTCGAGAGTGGTCAACTGGCACATCATTTTAAAGATATTCCAATTATCTTTTCAACTGGTCAACATCATTTTTAAGGTATTTTAATTCTCTTTTCAAACATGCTGACATTTTTTTTGTTCTGTGTTAAAATTAATGTAAAACACCGGTTGGGGAGTGTGGGTAAAATAAATCGAAGAAAAAAGTTTCCAAACAAGTTTTAATTAAACAAATGTTAAAATTGCGATCCATTTACTTCCATGCAGTAATATAGTCTTTGTTCAACATGTTTCAAAACATTTCGGAGCATTTCAAGGATTATTTCTCCACATACTAGCACTATCTGGTGGCGAAGATCTTCTAAAGATGTAGGTTTCGTCTTATAAACAACACTTTTTAAATAACCCCACAAGAAAAAGTCCAATGGTGATAGATCTGGCGATCTTGGGGGACATTCAATGAAACCTCTTCTACCAATCCAGTTTTAGGGAAAATGTTGATTTAAAAAGTCACGTACATGAGCTGCATAGAGTGAAAATACATCATTTTCTAGGATCTGATGGTCATTTTCGAGAATCTCCACAATACGAAGGTAAATAAAGTCTTCAAGCAAATTGAGGTAAGACTTACCCGTCAAGTTACCAGGTAAAAAAAAGGACCAACAATAGTATTGAACTTTTCTGGATATTGTAAAAAATGCTGTTCTCTCATAATTCGTTGATTCGAATCACTTCAGTAGTATCTGTTGACGTTACCATTAAGAGAGAATGGCATTCGTTAGAAAAGCATGTGGAATATAAAAAAATTAAGATTGTTTTAACCATCTCATCACAAAATTGTATACGGCGATCTAAATCATATTCATTGAGTTCTTGAACGAGATGAATCTTATAGGGATGGAATCGATGCTTTTTTAAAAATCTCTGAAGACTATTTGGAATTCCTGAAGTTGCTGCTACTTTTCTGGTGCTTGAAGTAGGATCCAGTTTCAACATGATCCAAAATTGCAACCTGTGCAGCCTCGTTAGTAACAGTGTGTTGCCTTTCATGTTTTTTGTTAGCAACTGATCCGGACTCTAAGAATTTAGTTATAAAATTTACTACGTAGAAATGGCTGAGGTTCTTACCAGGATGCCTTTCATTTAAAATGCTTGCAGTTTCGCGGGCCCTTTTATTGTTGCTAAAATAGAGTGCGACCATTTCAATTTATTCTGTCGTGGTTCAACATAGCGGAAAATAACAAATAAGCGAATTTCTCTAGACTCACTAGACAATAATTGTTATTAGTGTAAAATTAGAATGCAACTGCCTGTAAAACCGTACAAATAAATCAGTCACATTATCGAGGCTTCACTGATAAAAACTTGAAATTCCCAATCGGTGTTTTACATTAATTTTAATACAGAACAAAAAAAGAATGTCAACATTTTTTAAAAGAGAATTGAAATACCTTTAAAATGATGTACTACTTAACCCCTCGTGCCATTTAACATTCTTGAGGGGGTTGCCACCCCGTTCAGGTATATGAAGCTACATCAAATAATTGAAGATCAAAAGAAGTCCCCTTTAAAATCAATTTCGACCGGTCTCGGGTATTTCCCAAAAAAACTTCTCCTAGGAAAATATTTCAGGTGGACTATTTTAATTGGGCCACCCTATACATTAAAACCTTGATTTCATATTTTAACGGCACTTATCGATTTACCACATTTCATAAACGCTATTACTGTCACGATGTTGTACTTCCTGAAAGCCACACCTCCTTGAGCGAGACAAAAATAAAGAGATTTACTCCAGATTTTTTTAGGCTTAACGAAGCGTATACTTGGACGAACGTACAATGTTGTGTTCACAATATAATCGTTGGAAAATTATGGATGGAACAGGTCGGAAATATGGAGATTACAAGCTTCGCTTCTGGTCATAAAGCCCAGCTCACATTCAAACAAGCCGGCGGCAATTCGAAAGATCTTCATCGAGTGGAAGGATTCATTTTAGACAAATCGTAAGATTCAACTTTTGGTGTCTATACTAAACTTCTCTACTCATGGGAAACTTTTTATTAGTTCTACTTTAATTTATAACGAGCGAGAAGTTTCTCATATGCAGAACGGAGAAGTTTAGAAGACGCACAGTATATCTTTATCTTCGATTAATTTTGAGATATTCACGTAGTAGATATTCAAATATTTCTATGTAGTTCTAAAGTCCATTATGTTAATTTATGGAAAATTTTACAATAATAAATTCAATTCCTGGAGCTAGAAAATATTTAAAACAGTCGAGAAAGGTACATACCTAGTGTCGCATAGGTTACTGGTTTCTAATCAAAAAATTTAGGAAAATGTATACTGATTAGTATTTGTTGTATAGACACGCAAACAAGTTTCAAATAAAAATTATGTGAACTTGAAAAATACATATTTTAAAAATATTTTTGGATGTACCTACACGGTGTTGCGTTTTTGCTTGGCAAATAAAAATGTACGTTTTTTTAAATAGAATATTTTATTTTTAGAATGGTTTAGTAATACTGTATTCAACCCTAGACTGTTTTTAAAAAATAGTGTTGATAAGCAATTAATTTTTTTTAAAATTAGATAATGATGCAGACCCCAAATTAAACTATCATAATTTAGGTAGCTTTACATTGATTTCAAAATTGTCTATTATATAGACTCATAAAATACTAAACTAACGAATAGTGGGATAGAATCGGTTTATTTTATACAGAGTGTTTTGAAACATGTCTTAAATATGGCTAATTTTAAGTTCAATTTACTATATTTTTCAAATGCAACACTCTGTATATTATCTTAGCATAAAATTTCTTATAAATTTGCCTATAAAACGATACCATTAGGTTAGTCAATAATACATACAATTATTCTTAAATATACAGGGTGGTCCATAAACGAGTTGTTGACCAAATCTATACTTTTTTAAAGCAAAACACCTTGCAGGTAGTTATACATATTTAATTTTTTTCACATCGTCAAACAATTTTAATTGACTTCATTCATTTGCTATGTTGTATATAGGGTGTTTCAAAACGTGAGGTTACGATTTTCTCAATTTTTTAAAATGGAATACCCTGTATTAATTAATTGGTGGTATAACATATAGGGTTTTCCATTTAAAAAATTGTAAAAAATCGTTACCCCGCATTTTGACATATCCTATATACAATATAGCATATAAATGAAGTGTATTAAACTTGTTTGACTATGTGAAAACACCAAATATGTATAACTACCTGCAGGGTATTTTGCTTTAAAAATGTGTAAGTGTGGTCAGTCCCTGGTTTATAGACCACCATGTATATTTAAGAATAAAACAGCTATCGATCAATTACGCACTGATGGCACACTCTGTATATGTGTCATATTGGTACTGTTGGATGGCATGGAAGCCATGGAGGTTTAAGGTTTTTTAGTTTTAAAATCATTAAGTGGTGCCAGATCGTCAAATATCTTTAGTAAGGTATTTGTAAAATATGTTACTATTTCATTTACATCATCCATGTAAAAAATATTGTTGAAATCTTCTGATTGTAGGTGATAATACAGCAACTGTTTGTTAATATTTCTTAAATTTCTGCTCTTTGTTACTTTTGTAGTGACTTCAGGCAAACTCAAATTAAGTTGACCGAATACTAGCTGATGGCCAGGTTAACAGGATTACCCTTTTCAGATTTCAGTGTGTACATATTATTCACGTCAGATTTCTTTATATTAATTTGAAGCAACTGATAAAGCTTATTTATAACCGAAGGAAGTAAATTATCTTCACTATACTTTTGAGATATAAAATTTTATTTTGAAGTTCTGTGTTTATTTTTCCAAATGCTTAATTTTTCCTGTTTGTACGTCAATCTTAGCCAATAATTTTTTTGTTTTCTTCTATAATGTTCCTATTTATTTCTTCTTTTACAGATTTGATCTCTTTTTGAAAACCAAGCAATAATTTGTCATAAAGTTCGTTGTTTCATATATCATTGTTTGCAGTTTCCATTTTCTTGAACTCCATAAATACTGGTTCACGATAACAATAGCCTTTCGGTTTTTGATAAATGAATAGAACAAATGCAACTAAACTGCAGTTAACAGCAACTTACAATGTTCTCTTCGTTTAAAACTACCCAACCAAAAGGAACCTTTGATATCACACTTGTAGGTTTTTTAACCACGTTTTAACTCGTATTTTACAAGTTCTACAAATATACAATACAGCTTGCCTCCCTGCAACTGGATGGAACCCTTACGTGGGTAGCGAAAATCAAAAAGAAAAAGAATTCGACGTCAATTCACAACAAAAGCAATAAATAATTGTATAACACTAATTCGATTTTTTCTAACCACCTCGTATTTTATATATTGTTAAAAAAAATTTATAATTTTAAAATATATTTATTTGAACCGTCATTATTGGTTTTAGAAAACACAAACTCAAGTTCGTATATGGAAAATGGACAGAATTCATTAAATGTACAGACATCAATTCATACGAAGAGTACGTTAGAGATAATTCAACCAAATTCTCTAGTAATTCGAGAAGCAAAAGTCCCAACGACTCACCCTCACACACTTCCAGAAAAATGCTCCAGAAATTCAATAGTCTGAAAGTTGGATCTTTCAACAAGTCTAACTCCATGTCCACCTCCGAGGTATGTCAAAATTGTTTTTCTTTATCGCCATTCCAATCTAATAAATTTTAATTTAAAAGAAAAATTATTGTCAGTATCATTTATTAAAAAACCAATACAGAAGAAAAAAAAATTAAATTCTAAAGAGTAACCTGTATAGGACAGACAAATTCATATTGGTATAGACCGTCAGATAGTGACCGATTTAGGTGCCCCATTTTCGAATACAAGCCTCGAAGAGGGTTGAAAAGTACATCGATGTTGAGTAGAATAAAAGAAAATTTACGAGTGGCTGTTGGGTATAACACATTCAAAATTCGATTTCCTTATCAGAAAAATTTTCCGACCCCAAAATGCACTCATACATTCGGGTCATTCAAGAAAATATGTTTTTCGGACTAGTGACGACGTACACAGAAAAAAAATTGTAGAAAAAATTTCTACAATTGTTGATTTTTTCTCTACAATAAATAGTACATATAGGGACAGGGACAATTTGTAGTAAAAATTTCCAAATATTTGTGGAGAATGTATTGTAGAGTTATTATCTACAATATTTAGTACAAAGATCCAAATGCATCTAAGAATTGTTCTACAAATTGTTATAATTTTTGCTATTCATTGTATGAATTTATATTAAAAATGTATTGCGTTTTATGAAAATAAATACGAAAATTTTACACAATAAATAGTAAAAATTCATACAAATTGTAGTAATTTTTAATAAAATTTGTAGTAATATTCCATAATTATTATAATTATAACCTAGAAAAAAATGTTCCTTAATAAAATATTCAATTTATTATTTTAATATAAAAGATACAAATTCTTAATTACATTATGTAATAAATAACAGTAATAATAGCGCCCTCAGTCTCAGTTGGCTTTTCTGCACCTGAAAAATATGAAATAAAAATTAATACCAATTGAATTGTTCATACCCTTAAAACGGGGATATTTATCACCTTTACACTGATTTGGATATTAAATGACTAAGTCAGATAACTAACAAAAATGAGAAAGTAGGTATGTCACAATTAGGACAAAAAAACATCTTTGAACTTGGGCACAACATTCGAACGTTGGCCACAACTATTTTTTTAAAATAATCTACTAAGGTTATTTAAATTAGTTATCTAATGGTAAATTATTCAGAAACAATAATAAATGTACTTACCACCAATAGAATTTATTATTAAAATTTTCTCAAACGCATCGGTGCTTATAATTTAATAATGTGTTATAGGTACTCGTATATATACCATGCTTTGTTATGTGAACATGGCGAACGGCTACTGCTGTCTGGCCGTTTATGATCGACGTCAGAAAACCTTGGCCAATAGCAGAATTCTGTTTTGTTCACATGACTTAGAATTTCTACAATATTATAGAATATTTTTGAATACGGGATGTAAAGTATTACTATTTTTTGTAGAGAAAATTACTATTTTTTGTAGAGGTAATTATTAATATTTATACAAATTTTTACAGAAGTTAGTAGTAGTAATTACGATAATTGTAATAAATTTCTACTTCTACAAACAATAGTAAAATATACTAAACATTGTGGACTTCTTTCCTATTGTTGTAGCATTTTTTTCGACAATTCAATTGCTACAATAATTAATAGTTTTTAACTATAAATTGTAGTAAAATTTTCTACAAATTGTTAAGTATTTTTCTACAAGTCTACTACTACAACATTGTAGTAAAATTTTCTAGTCACATTTTTTTCCGTGTACGTTTTCATACATTCGATGGGCTTGTGTGGAAAAATCGGGCAAAATTTCGATTTTTCCTTAGAAGATTACGACCTTATTGCAACCCTTTAGCCACTTGCAACATTAAAGCCTTTGGTTTTCCGAAGCCTGGTTCTATTAATTAATCATATAGTGAAAACGGCTTGTGTGGAAAAATGGGCAACAAATAACCTTTCGTTTTTGTTAGGGGAAAATCGAATTTTCCATGTGTTATCCCCAGCAGCCACTCGTAAGTTTCCTTTCACACTACTTAAAATCGATGTACTTTTCATCCCTCTTCGAGGCTTGTATTCGAAAATGGGGCACCTAAATCTGTCACTATCTGACGGACTATTAAGATCATTTAAAAAGAGTGCAAATGAACAGTTAAAAATATCACAATCGACACAAAAGTACCAAAATATAAACTCATAATGTGTATTGGAGATATTAGTTTTAGGACTCATCAGCAAGGAATATACTTCTTATCCTCACACAACCACCAGCCATGAGTACTAGAAAACTTAACGCATGTGCAAATTACATAAGTGATTGGAATTTGAAATCGAGAATGTCTATTACTTGCAGATGAGTCTTAATAAGAAGGACATTCTCCTTAGTAAGCAAAATCAAAGTTAGAGTGTTAAAAATGTTTTATTTCTGCCTGTTTTACTTTTGATATGACTTAATGCCTGTTGCATTATCAGACAAAGTAGTAGTGTGACTGTCTTTGAATTTTTCTCAATTTCCTTCATTTTTAATATATTAATAATATTTGTAGAGTGTGGACGATGCTAGCTTAGACTTAGGAGAAAATTCTGTACCCAAAAGTGAATCCACATACTCCATAGATATTCCAAACTCTATCACCATCTGGCAAGTTAATCCAAGACCAGCTCAAAGCAGTGACGTAAGTGTCGGAAATTAATAGATCTTTATTAGCTTGTTCCGAATGTAACAGTGGTGAAGTAATAGTTCACGTACTAGTTACACAAATAACTATTTTTCCTACGACCACTTAAGAAAGTGACACAAATGACACTAGTTAGTCTTAGTTTTACCCGTGTGGATAAGAATCTACTTTCCGTGTCAGCTGTCAAATATGTCATGCTTTCGTTTCGTTTTGATGATTTAATTGTTAACATTGATATTTATAAATACCTAGATCCTAGATATTTATTTTTAACAATGGTTAATACACGTATTTGATTAGATAATTCACTTGACATAAGTCTTCTTGACTCAGATCGTTAAGTGATCTTTGGATTTCGCGAGGCGGGTTCAATTCTCGATGAGAGCAATTTTTTTAAAAAAATTAAAAATACGACTATTTATTTTAAATACATTTAATTTATCATAATATAACCCCTACAGTTGGGCAATTCGTTAATCTTTCCGCTATTTATTTTGTATTATTTTGGTAAACTATTAGTAGATATCATCTTTAATAGAAATTAAAAAAATTCACAATTCATCTCATTAATTGTTGTGTTTAAAAATAAATAAAAACATTATTGTATTCTAATATTTTTTTGTATTTAACATTATTGTAACTTTATCATCCTATGAAAGTGTAAATGGAAATTAAATGAAAAATACTTTGTAAATTATTCAATAACGCTTATAAAAAACAAATCTGGCACCGGTCACATCTTGATTGAACCTCCATAGACAGATTACCTGGTTTTACATGTTTTTGATGAAATTATTTTGTGGTTAGGAAAAATATTGTACATCACTTATCTAAAAGTGATTTTCCTACGCTATTTTAATGTTCCATTTCTAGTATTACCAGTTCACACAATTTGCGATGTCGTTGAACGAGATCGAGCCCAAAATGCAGGACTGTATGTGCCCAACCGATTCCAGATTGAGGCCTGATATAAGAAAACTCGAGCAGGGTGACATAGACGGTGCTGCCGTTGAGAAAACGCGACTAGAAGAAAAACAAAGAGACGCCAACAAGAGTCGCAAGAGCAAGAAAACTGCTGAGTGGACTCCGAGGAAAGTATCTTTTAATGAATACATACTTCACTGTTATTTATACATAGGAAGCATTTCAATTTTAAAATTATTTGTTCTTCAAATTGTTTCATTTGATGATAATCTCATATAAATATTTAACAAATGATAATGGGATTCTGTACATAATGTTATAATTTCGGTTTATCCAATATGATTTATCAGACTGACCAATAAAATAGTTGATGATTCAATATTTGACATTTTTACGTTGTTACTTAGTAACAAAAGTGTGGAACAAATATCAGAGCTTATTACAAACAAAGGGACTGAAGTGGTACTTTTTATCCCGAGGCGAAAAATTTGCCAAGGGATAAAAAAGACACTTTAGTCCCGTGATTTATACACTATCTTACACATTTTTGGAAAAGAATAACTAAAAATAAAATTATGAAAAATCACTTAACAACGCAATGACAGTAGATTGTTAATGGGTGGGCAAATTACGATGTTTTAATAGAGGACTTCGTTAACTATAAATGGTATGGAAAAATGGACCTCCCATCCTCGATTTCTTTTTTTGAGAAAAACTTAATGGCATTTTCAAAACTCATTTAATGTTTTTGTTTTCGAGTTATAAACAAAAGTTTATTTATTTTCATTGTTATTTATCAAAAACTCATTATTTTCAAAATAATCTATAATACTCTGTTGTTTTCTAGTACGCTTGTGTCATTCAGAATATTTCTGACAGAAGTATCGGAATTTTTACAACGCTGATCATTTATTAACGTTTGATTGTTTATATCATCTTAAAAGTGCAAAATGGCTTATGAAAATAGCGAAAAGTTTGACATGCTAGAGTGTTTTATTCAAAGTAATAATAATTCTGCAGTTGCAAATGAATTATATTTTAATCGTTACCAGGGTAAGAAGACAACCTAATAATTCTATTTTCAAACGGTTAAAAGAAAATCTCATAAATTATGGGACTTTTCAAGAAACCAAGGATACAGAATTATAATATTGAAAATGCTGAGGAAGTTGCCACCAATGTTATTGGAATGGTAACTGCAAATCCTTCGATATCAAGTCGTCAAATTGAAGCCGAGTATGGGATATCACGAAAACAAGCATTGCCAGTTTTAAAAAAATATAAATTCAGACCCTATAAAATAAGGAAACAGCAACATCTCCAACCAAGGACGTCTAAATTTGTGCAATTGGTACCTTGAAAACAGACCGGAATCCATCATTCTTTACAAAAATTATATGGACAGATGAATCTTACAAAAGCAGTGCCAGAATTTTCAATCAACATAACGAACATTGGTGTCCGACGTTAACCCCCATCGTAATTTTGATGTCCAAAATCAGGGACGTTTCGGTTTTAGTGTTTGGTGTGCCCTATTGGGCAATGGCATTTTAGCCTACTAAATTTATGTTGGAAAACTAAATAGCCAATGATATTTAGAAATTTTAAAGGAACACATATTCGGTGTTTTTTTGGAAGACGCTGAATGAGAGACGAGATATATTTTTTCAATACGATGGGGCGCCCGCTCACAGTACTAAAAACGTCTCTGAATTGTTAAATCTTCATTTTAGAGACAAATGGATAGGGACAAAAGGACCAGTAAGGTGGCCACTACATTCATCAGATTTAATGCCCATAGATTTCTTCTTCTGGGGATATATTAAAGATGATTTATACAAAAATTCTTCTGATAATATTGACGAACTAATGCAAAATTTTATACAGTGTGTTAATTCCATCTCCAATGTCCATATTTATAACGCAATTCGAAATGTTTCCAAACGATGTCGTTCATGTGTTACGAATAATGGACATCAATTTGAAAATTTAGTCTAGATAGTTTTATAATTTTTAATGATGTAATTGGTAGACCATTTTGCTCTTTAAAAGTGATGTCATAAACAATCAAATGTTGTTCAGAATTTTAATAACATGCAATAACAGATACTTTGGCCTATCAGAAATATCCTAAATAATAATAATAATAATAATAAACGACTTTATTGTTTTCACTAGCCTACTAGAAAACAACAGAGTATTATAGATTATTTTGAATATAATGAGATTTTGCTAAATAACAATGAAAATGAATAAATTTTTGTATTTTTTTTGTATGCCACAGTCAACTTATGGTTCCATATAAAATTCAACTTATGAAGATTTAAAAAAAAATGACTACGCCACTGGATTCTTATCAAAAAAGTGCCTGAAGAAGATATACATTATTTTCTTTCACTTTCATAAATAAGCGAGATAATTTTTAAAAAACGAACTTTTGTTTATAACTCAAATACAAAAGAAAGTGCCATTAAGTTTTTCTCAAAAAAAGAGATCGAGAATGGGAGGTCCATTTTTCCATACCATTTATAGTTAACGAGATTCTATATTAAAACATCGAAATTTGCTCACCCTGTACATTGTACTGTATTTTGGATTGTATGGTACAAGTATATTGTACTTTTAAATACTAGGTAGTAAAAGTGCAATTTTATTCCCTGAAAATAAGGACTAAAAGTATACTTTTAGTCCCTAAAGTGCATAAAGATACTAAAATGAATTTCTAAAAAATTGTTGAAAATAGTAATTTTATAAATTTTAGGTGGTTCCATCAAGGCACTAACCCTTACACCAAGCAAGACGACTGGGAATACAATGGTGACTATTGGAAAAGACAATACACCGATCCTGATATATTTTAAATGGTACGGTGTGATGATATTTAGAAGTTGTAGCAACCAAAATTAAATGTTACCTAGAAAAGGCTCCCCTTATAGAACTAGATATCAATGTCTGTGTGTGCCAAAAACTAGCACAAATGTATTTTATCATAGAAGAAGAAAAAAAAAAACAAATAATAGCGCTTCCGGGGATATTGTGATTTATGTCAATTTTATTCATTTAAAATTGGAAAAAGATATAAATTAGAATTGACTCACTGAAGTCATAGGATTCAAGAAAACAATATTTCGATTGAAATATAAGCGTATTGATATTACATGATTTAAAAACATACAGGGTGGCAGAGGCGCCGCCAGATTTTTTTTCCAAGGGGGCAAAGATACAATTTCGTAAACCTAACCTTAAAAACATAAATGCTTAATTTTATTTAATAGATAAGAAATTCGTTTAAGCTTATTCCCAATAAATGTTGACGTACTTCCTGATAATAGCTCTGGTACGTCTGGCAACCCTGTATAAATTTATAAATAAAAAGAATCGTTGGAAATTATAAAAAAACGAATATATTGTAGTGATTGTGCTGATATAGATTAGTAGTAAAAAAAAATATTGAAATATTTGCAATCAACCAGTGAGCGCACCATGCAAACACTTTCATTAGAATATCAGCAAAAAAACATTGTTAGTTAATTGTAACGGTCTGTATATGACGTCATAGTATAGGTAAGGAAGAGTATTGGTCCAGGAACAATTACCGATTGAAAGCCATACATAGGTACTTTATCAAATGTCTAAAATTACAAATCCCTTTTCCATCAAACTATGACGTCATATTTCTCTAAGGCGTCGTGGTTATAACGAAATTAATGAATTGTAACATTAGAATCTCCGCTTGAGTTCGCTTAAGGCGAATATCACAAAATACAAAATTTTTATGAAAGCAGTATAAACATTCAGTTCTCTGAATGTACTTTAACCATAACTGACAACAGTTTTTAGTAAATTGAGTAGTATTCTTTTTATAATTCTATGGACTTCAGATGTGTGTGCAATATATAGAGCTTGAAAATATATATATTGGAATTAGTTTGATATTTGGACATCCGCCCTAAGTCAACTCAAGCGGAGAAATATAAAATAGGTTGTGCAAAATTTCGAATAACTGTCATAAAAGCAATGTTTACTAATTTTTGACTATTTTAATGACGTAATATAAGGTACCTGATCTTTCTCTTTGTATAAAGTGTCTCAAAAACTAAATCTGTTCATTCTTGTTCACGGGTAATTCAGTCCTTATTCAAGTTTTACTGTTTTAAGGAAAATTGTAAGGTTTTTAGGTAAGACAAATACATTTTTCTTATAATAAGTAAATTATTTCGAACAGATATTTGTAAATTGTAAACAGGAAGCCGGCGCTAAATCTGGACAATATTGTGACCCAATCTTACAATTCAGCCTTTAGATTATAGACGGGAATGTAGTCCTGCTCAGAAAGCATTTTATTGAACGACAATGAAATAAGTACCTTAAAGTATGGTTTAAACTAAATACTTAATGCTGTTTTTAAATAACCCGTGAACCAATAATTTTTTTTTTCATCCATTTTGAAGCGCAAGTGCATATAGTTAACGAACATGCGCTTCATATGCGAACTTAAAAGCAATAAAAAACAACAATTGATTTCAGTTATGAAATATTTTAGAATTTAGGTGCAACTGTACCGCCTTGTCATAGTATTCCTTTTTTAACCAAGTCAATATTTGGGGAACACACATATAAATGCAAAGTGATTATATAAATAAATATATATCATGTACAATAAGATGATATTTATGTTTTGTTAAGAAATAAAAAGTTTTGTTATCTCATGATGTATTTATTTCCTTGTGTACCTTTTCCAGTGTTTTTTATTTAATTCAAGAGAGATAATTTTTGATTTTTTGATTGATAGTCAACATCAACGACCAACAAACCTTTCATTCATAATTAATCACTTATTTATTTGCAAGTATTCATCTCGTATTTTATGTTGAGCAAACAGCTGTCCCTTTGACTGCTGCGTTATAAAGAGCGAGATGTCTACCAACCAGCTCATACAACTCTACGATTCCTGCCTTACACCACACTGCAATAAATGGTGTACTTTCCTGTAAATCACAATAATAGTTACGACCAGAAAAATACATTAAACAGATAATAACTGGGCATTAAGAATATAATTCCTTAATGTAATTTTGAAAAGCCTTTTGTGTGTTTTAGAGCCTTATGTTAAGTAAATTCCGAATAATAGGTGGAAAACAGTGAAAGCTTGCAATAGGGTTTTTGTATACAAAATTGGTCTAGTCTTATTGGTCATTGGTCTCACAGGCTAATCCACTAAATCAGTTACTTTAGTCCCATAAAAAAAGATATACAGTGAGCACCATAAGTCTTACCTCCCCTATCTAACTCATTACTGGATTCCTGTTAGGAAAATTGCCGAGACAGGTCGATTTTTGATTTTTACAATGTACATTTTTGTATGATTAGTTTACCCTTAATTTCATCCCTTACTGGAGGGGAGCAACCCTTTCTAAAAATTTAAATGGCATGGGGTGGTGAGTGATAGCTCATTTGAAAGGGGGTTTTATTCTCTATCCAACCGTGCAAAAAATTTTGAAATTTGCTTCATTACGTGTTGATTTATTAATGTTTAAAAATAACAAAACCTCACAAAATAGGAAAGCAACTAAACTAACAGTGACCTTCTAATGGCAGAAAGTCTTACTTCACGTCTGAACCAAAACCGAAATCATGCAGGGCCGAATTTTAATTCTAAGGATGAGTGCGCTACGTTAATTTCCGTTATTCTGGATGGCTCAGCTTCTATCTACGAGAACTGCAGAGACACAGATAGGGCAGGACATCATCTCCATCTGCCCAACCAGAGGAGTTCTATCCCCACTAATGTAAAGTCAAATCGTAGACGAAATTCTATGCAGATTGACTGACCTCGGTATATCATGTCAAGATTATGCTGACGATATAGTCATATTTTCTAGGTGCAAGTTTGGAAATATCCTGTGTGATATAGTCCAAAGAGGACTAGAACACACAACAAAAGATGATGTCGCAATGTGGGAGTATAAACCTCACCAGAACAACACCAGTAACCTTTTCAAGGAAAATAAAACAATCTTAAAGCCGTCAAATTAGATAGGATAGATATAGATTGGAAAATATGTCAAACATCTAGGCCTAACCCTGGACAACAAAATTCTCTAGAATACACATGAGGAGGAAGTAGTTAAATAAGGCCACAAAAGCCCTAATATATCATGAACATTGCAGGTAAAACATTGAGATGTAACCCGAACACTCATCTGCGATGGATGTACCACAGAGCTGGGCTGCAAGAGCCAAGACTCCATTGCGTTTGCAACCGCAAGGCATCCAATTCACATGTATAATGATGTACAATGATGGTTCCAAAACCACAGAAGGAACTGGAAGATAAGTGTATGGGCCTAAAAGAAGTCACTCTGAAAGTTTGGGTGAATACCATAGCATCTTCCAGGCGGAAATTTACACCATTGAGAAGTGTACCCAGTTCAACATCGAGAGAAATTATCACAGGCAAGAAATTATCATTATGTTCGATAGCTAAGCAGCCATCAAAGCGTTGAACTTTTACGTAATCAGCCCAAAAATGGTCTGTAGATGATTGGAAATGAGCTAGGCGAGCAAAATACAGTTACTTTACTTGGGTCCCGGGACAGGTAAAGGGTAACGAGATTGCAGATAGTCTCGCAATGGTGGTACCTGAGCCATACTGAAAGAATAAAAAAAAATTGGGCTGAGATACTTCTGGGTGAATATAAGCAGAAACTGTATCGGCAAGGACAGGCTACGCATAGTAACAATTATCCTTACCGGGAATTCCGACTAAACAGACTCCTTAGTAAACTTAGTAGTAAGTTCAGATTCTGTGAGGAGAAGTACGAAACCTTCATTCACATTCTAGTTGAGTGTGTAACACTCTAGAATCCAAGGCCACTATACTTAGGAGCATGTAAGGGTAATCTACCTAACTTGGAGCCACTCCAAATACTACACTTCCTTAAGAAGATAGGATTTTCGTTACAGGCATCGAGACATTTCCTTGCTGCATTATCGACAGAATGTGTCCCTTGTAACATTTTAAAATTCCAGTTAAAAATGTTATTTTAATTGTGTGACATTCTGTATAAATAGTTTTCGATTAATTTAAATTCAATTATCGCCGCACGCAATTTTCCAAAGAAAGGGAAATTTCGTGAAGTGGGGGTACAGTAAATTATATTTTGAAATTTCCATTTATGATTACTATCTCTTAGTATCTGGTAGTGTTTGGCTGTAAAAGTGGTAAGCATTAAAAAAGTATAATGTCATTGTAAAAATATCTCGGTAGAAATAATATTTCAACTTGTTAGTTATTAGTTTTTTTGAAAGTAAAGTTAAATTTTTCTAAATATGTTTTTATAATTCATTCTGGTTGCTGAAATTGCACAATGTTTATAGTAATTAGTTTTTATTGTATCTTGATTTATTTTAAAAAGTAGATGATTCAAATTTAATTTATATCTCATAAAAGAGCCACGTGAAAAACAGAATTTATTTTTGTTTAGAAAACGAATAGGAGCAGCTGAAAGCAGTGAAAGCTAACCGTTGAAAACTAACAGTTGAAAACTAACAGTTGAAAGCTAACCGCTGAAAGTCACACGTGTAACTTTTATTACACGTAAGAACGAGAACGATAAAACGAGGTACGCTGTTCATGCTCGAGTAGCAGAATCATGGGAAATGCGAGATTTGGTGTTCGTTCCCGAGTAGTAGAATTTTCAACTGCATCCTAAGGAAGTTGCCAGCCAAAATCAAATGTGGTAACTAATAGTGGCTAGTTTTATTATTGACGATATAAAAGTTAATTTACCTAATAAAGTTCAATATTGACTTGTTCCTGAACATTTTCTTTTTTATTTGAATAAACTAATTCATTTTTATAAGTATATATGTTGAATCTTATTTTTTTAAAGGTTACAACAATTCTCTTTTACTCAAATTAAATTTTATATAAGTTTTTATTAATTTTTTTTTGATAAAGCTAGAGTTTATAATTCTCATTAGCTTTTAAAAAATAAAAAAAGAGAATTATTGGTGCCCAACTCTCCTAGAAAATTATTATCCCAAAGGTGTCTATTAGAAAAGCCGAATTCACGACTGAGAAAACTATGGTCAATGTGCTCATTTCTTTTTTTAATTTTTAAAGGTGTTAAATTTCTCTGAGCTAGTCAAAATCTCTTATAAGTGTTTGGAAATTAACATTTTATCACAAGGTAACGTCATCTATTACACCCTTCTGATATTTTAGGTCGCAGTGTATTAATACTCCATACCCAACATAACATTCGAAATTAATTTAGGTACCTACTTGTTTTTAACGCATTTTTATGTAAGGGTAGAACAAAGACATGGGACATTTTATGTTTATTTGTCAATAATAATACAAAACACGTTACAAGACATATAATAATAAACAAAATATCATTTTAATGATAAAAACAACATAAAAACATACATTTGTTAAAATATAATTAAAATAAAAATATTGCAGTCTTCACAGTAATTAGGTACCCATAAAATAATAGAAATACACAACATACATTAATGGACACAGTGACCGAAAAAGTAACAATATTGATTAACAAAATATTTTTTTAATAAAAAAGTTAGATGTATCTAATATTTATTTTAAAATTTTGATTTGGTTTTGGTCCCAGGTCCCCCAACAACACAGCTCGTTTTAATCTTCTTATACGTCCCTAGGTGCCAACATCGTTAGCTAAACATGTGTTTCCGGAACATATCTATAGTTGTCATTTGAATGAATCAAAACAGAAAACTATGTTGTGTATTTCTAAAAAAGAACATCTACATGCAATATTACCAAAGGTAATCGAACAAACGAATATTGCACACGTTTTGATTTCATAAAACGCCAAGGACGAATATATAAAAAATTATCAACTTTTATTCAACATTTTACAATGCTTTTGTACAAGTAAACGAAAATGTAAGTATTAAAGCAAAAATCATTCAAAGAAAATGTTCAAGGTCACTTTCTTTATTTTTTTTTAATATAGGGGAGAATTTCCATCATCCAATCCTCAATATTCTCGTTCACTTGAAACAGATACTGTATCACTCTATTATCTCGAGTTATAATTATCTTTTTTAGTTTAGGATACATTCTCTGTTAAAATGGGTTAATATACTTTGGAACACCCCACATAACAAATATAAAAATAATAAACAGTCGATTTATATATAAAAAAAAAATATTATTAGTACGCAACTGCCATTATCACATTTTAACAGTTAACTAAAGAAATAGGCATATATGAAATTTCAGAAAAAGAATCAAGACAACATTGGTATATACACAAATAGGAGACCTTCCCAATCATTTACAACTGATAAAAAGTGAGTCAATTATTTATTAAATTAGTAAAATATACCAGTATTTTACGATCCTGGAATATTTAAGACTCTACCTCGTATTCTCAAATACTGCTTTATTGCAATTCAGTACAGAATAACAAGTCTGCTAGATTGCATAAACTCTCCAAGTATGTTTTATAATAGCTAAGAAGATTTTCACATAAATTACTTTCTTTGTTGGAAAAATTATACAGCAGGATCTTGCGATATTTGACATACAAGTATAGCAATCGTAAATTGGTAAAAAATGAAATAGAAAATTAAGTGAACGAAGCTCTGGAATTAATTTTTGTTTGTTTCTTCATTCTTTAGAAACTTAGTTTGATTTTACAAAACGTCAGAAGAGACCAGGAACAAAATTGTAAATTAATAGAAAACAAGAATACTAATGGGAAATTTAGATTTATGGGAAAGTAAGTTGAGAAAATCGGTTATAGATCCGAAAACTAAATATGCAGTTTTAGAAATGTGAAAATATAATCCTCGATTCCCCCACTAACTTAAGAAATGTATCCCCACATTCCCAAAGAAAAAATTGAAAAAGTTGCAAAATAAAAAAAAATAGTGCACCAGTCAGGAATCGAACCTGGATCTTCCGAGTATAGCCCTCTGCGCCTTTACCAATTAAAGACCACCGGAACATACAACTACGACAGTCGATTTTGTAAATTTAAAGTCATCAGATTCCGATTATCGTCGGTATAAACATTCCTCTCTTTCTCGTACTCTCCTAATTCTTCTAAAAGATCTTAGAATTTATTCTAGTACCAGCTAAGCTTGGCGTCCTTCAACGATAATGCAAGGAGAATGTACTAATGAGAGTCGGAATCTGATGACTTTAAATTTACAAATTCGACTGTCGTGGCTACCTGTTCCGGTGGTCTAATTGGTAAAGGCGCAGAGGTTTGATCCCTGTCTGGTTACACTCATTCTTTTCCTTATTTCTCAGCCTTTTCAATTTGTATTTGATTTGTGTTCAATTTGGAGAAGTGGGGATACATTTCTTAATTGTGGATTATATTTTCACATTTCAAAATTTTTGAATAAGGATTTAATTAATGGATGCATCAAATATCACAAGATGCGGTTAATTGCATTAATTGGATAGGCCCACAACACCCCGTAGAGAGGAGCTTGTTTATCTGCACTGAGATGATGATGATGGATATCCTCCGTACGACATAGCTTTAATTACCGAACTAATTAGGTGGAAACGTTGGTATAATAATTGGCATATGATTATTGATGGTATTACTTGGATGCATGAAGGAGTGATCGAAGAACGACATTCCTAACTTATGTGCATTTGACATTGTTGCGTCAGGTACATATACAGTATGAGGATTGTTGAAATAAAGACTGGTGTCCTGAGAAGAGCACACAGATTCAGCACTAAGTGCTAAAGGCGTTGGTTCTTTAGGAGGAAGCACCGTAGGCACAAATTGAGACTTCTGATAACGATTAGTATGTACACGGCTGCTATGTAGCACAGTTTGATATCGATGTAAAAAGGCCATATCACAATGTTCACATTTGAACTTTTTCCTGCCATGCCTCCAGTAGCGATGAAGAGCTAGCGTACCTTTAGAATGGTACCGACTGACGTTTAAATTTTTGCAGGAATAACACGTCAGTCCCAACCTGGTGACCAGTTGGGCCATATACTTATCTATTAGCCTATTAATGCCTGTACTAGAAGACGACAAAGCTCCACGCCATCTTCTTAACTTTCCTGTAAGATGTCCCAGAACTTCCACTTCTTCAGGGTCCCAACAAGGTAAATAAATCTTCTTAGGTTGGTTCTGCTTCCTAGATTTAGTCCTTGGTGGTGGAGGGGATGGACCTGAAAATTTTAATCCTAGTACGTTGTGAATAGTCATGTGAGCAATGATGTGGTTCTGGATATCAAAGCCTGCGCCACATACATTACAGTTATATTTGTAATCAGGATTGCCTTCCTTCGAATCCTTCAGTTTTGCGGGAGATGCTGCACTGTGCGTCAATTGGTGGGTGTCAAGAGAAAGATCGTCCTCGAACTCGCAACCGCACGTGTGACAGACGAACAAAGGAAGCTCCGTTTCTTCTCCGACCTCCTCGTCAGCCTGATTGCCAACATCTCCCGCCTCAGGAAAATCCGACTGGATCCTGTGGCTCAAATTCACTCTGCTCATGTCTTCGGCGACCGCCCTTGGTTCGGTTTCTGGATCAGAGCCATCGCTGGCTTCTAGATAGCTGAACAGTCTGGCCGCTCCGTGCTGTTTGGGAATGTGGTGTTTCCAGTTTTTCGGATCGGTTTGCAGAAAACGATTGGTTTGCTGCAGCAACGCTGCGGCCGTGCTTAGGTCGTGGCTTTTCAGAAGACTCTGATGTGTCTGGCTGCTAAAAAGAAGATGTATCTGGTAAAAGGCAACCTTTATTTTAACTCTCAATTAGCGATATGTGTGTATAATTCTGATCACAGAACATTTTGCTATTTTATAATTTAAAGCAAAAAACACACCAAAATACATAAATACAGTTGACAAACTGCAAAAAAAGTGTAGAGGCCAAATTTTGAAGAAAAAAAAAAGAAAAATGCACCTCTGATCAAAATTATACAATGGGTTGTAATGCCTAAGTGCTGCAGTTAAATATATTGTCATTAAGTCAACTAGAATTTACCGTTAGCCGATCGATCTACAAGGTGTCTGCAAAAGGTCTTTACGAAAAATACCACACATTCCACAATGAACAGAAAGCTGATAGTTTCGCTGATCACCTACAAAAGACGTTCCAATTAGAAGAAAATCAGGACACTCCTAACTAGACGATCCATAATATGGACCAACTTTAAATTAGACTAGTTACTCCCAATGAAGTTGCGAAAAAAATTGAGACAAACATCAAACCACAAAAGGTCTCAGGATATGACTATATTAGTGGAAAAATATTAAAGAAACAGCCAAGGAAGGCTATCGTTAAATTGACGTACCTCATAAACAGTGTCGGATTGGGCCGTCGGTCTACCGGTCAAAAGACTCTTGTTCAAGTAGTGGACCCTCGTTCAGTCAGTGGGCCCTCGGTCAGGAAGCGGGCTCAGAAAAACAAACAAAAAGTTAAATGCAAGGAACCCCGTAATACGTGATAGGACCAAATCGGACCATGAAAAAACTGACCCTTTTCCCTTCTAGACAGGTAGGCCCTGGACGTACCAATCCGACACTGCTCATAAATGAAGCAGTTCGCCTTAAATATATACAGAATGCGTGGAAAATGGCTGAAGTTATCCTAATTAAGTCAGGAAAACCTCCGAATGAAGTGTTATCATAAAGATCTATATCATTGTTACCAATATTATATAAACTACTGCTAAAATAACTACAACCAATAATTGAAAGTAAAAACCCTTCGCACTAATTTGGTTTTAGAAACAAATATTCGACAATAGATCAAGTACACAGAATAGCCAATATCATTGAAAAAGCATACGAAGAAATATGTATAGAGGTTCAGCTATATTTCTTTATGTGGCCCAAGCATTTGAGAAGGTTTGGCACGCTGGCGCTGACCTGATACAAAAACTGTATCGTCATTCTTTAATCATATTTATCAAAAAGAATGTTTAGAGTCAAGCGAAGTAATATAAATTAAAGGTGTCCCGCAGGGCAGAGTGCTAGAACCGTTCCTTTACTTCAGCGATATCCCTCAACAACAATGTATTAAAATATTTGCGGATGACACTGCAATATTAGCAGTTGGCTGAAGTAATACAAAGACCTCAGAAAAGTTCCAGGAAACTTGCAACAGAATCAATCGGCGAACAAAAATGTGGCAAATAAAAATAAATCAAACTAAATCAGCGCATGTTGATTTTACTCTTCGACAAAATGAACAAAAACAAATAATATACATACATCTAATAGTTCAGGAAAAAAACAGAATTAAGTAGACTAAATATACTGCCTAAAGGTCAACAATCTGTACGTCTATGTTTTTGCAAATCACTTAGGACTGACAACCCATTACTTTAAAAATAACCGCAATGATTTATTTGTTCTATTTGGAAGATACTTTAAAAAAATCTAGTTTCAACAAATCTTCTTACCTACAGGGAACAGAATTCGTATTAGTAATTGAACTGGAAGTTGATGTGGAAGCACCGCCGTTAAAAGAATTCGTTCTTAAAATATTACTACTGCTCGTTCGATTTCTCTGTTCTAAAGGGCTGAAAAACAAATTACATTTTTAATAGATTCTGGAGAAAATAATCCAAATAAACCGAAAAATATATCTAACTAAGGACAAGACAAATTACACAGCGATTTAGGTCTAGTTAAATAGAATTTAGTTACAAAAAAATACCATAAATTAAATAAATTATCAAAACTCATTTTTTCTAGCGGTACAAAAATATAGATATATATAGATATATATACAATTTCAACTTGTGTTATACTCGTAGATACGAAAACAAGTTTCAAATAAAAGGATTTAAAAAAAAGTATTTTAAAAAAAATTTGCGTTTTTAACTGGCAAATAAAAATGTATATTTTTTTAAATTGAACACCCTGTATTTTATTTCAGTTTTAGAATGATTTAATAATACTGACTTCAACCCTAATTTTTTTTTTAATATTACAGGTTTGCCAAGCAATTAATTTTTTTATGAAATTAGAGAATGATGCAGACCCCAAATTAAATTATCATAATTTAGGTAGTAGGTTCACAATGATTCAAAAATTGTTTAAGATGCAGACTTAAAAGATGGTAAGCTAACGAATAGTGGTAATAGAACCGGAACATTTTATACAGAGTGTTTTATAACATGTCTTAAATATGGTTAATTTTAATTTCAATTTACTCAATTTTTTCAAAAGCAACACCCTGTATATTATTTTAGCATAAAATTTCCTATAAATTTGCGTATCTAACGATACCAACATGTAAGCCAATAACACATATACAGGGTGTCCTATCAGTGCGTAATTGATCGATAGCTGTTTAATTATTGGAAATTAAAAAAAATTATTAATATAAAAGTTGTATGACCATATTTAACAATTATTCTTAAATATACAGGGTGTTCCATAAACGAGGTGCTGACCAAACCAAACACCCTGCAGGTAGTTATACATATTTGATTGTTTTCACATCGTCAAACAATTTTAATTGATTTCGTTAATTTGTTATGTTGTATATAGAGTGTGTCAAAACGCGAGGTTACGATTTTCTCAATTTTTTATATAGAATACCCGTGGTGGTATAACATACAGGGTATTCCATTTAAAAAAATCGAGAAAATCGTAACCTCCTGTTTCGACACACCTTATATTTACAACATGAATGAAGTCAATTAAAATTGTTTGACGATGTAGAAACAATCAAATATGTTTTGCTTTAGAAAAGTATAGAAAACAGTTATCGATCAATTACGCAATGATATTAGCTAACATGTTGGTATCGTTGGATAGACAAATTTATAAGGACTTTTATGCTAAAATAATATACAGGGTGTTACGTTTAAAAAATGGAATAAATTGAACTTAAAATTAGCCATATTTAAGACATGTTTCAAACCACTGTATAAAACAAACCAGTTCTATCACCTCTATTCGTTAACTTAGTATCATACAAGTCTGTGTATTAGACAATTTTGAAATCAATGTAAATCTACCTAAATCATTTAATTTGGGGTCTACATTATTCTCTAATTTCTTAAAAAAATTAATTGCTTGACAAACTTGTAATGTTTTTTAAAAAAAATTCTAGGATTGCCAAACCATTCTAAAAATAAAATAACCCTGTAGGGTGTTCTTTTTAAAAAATATACATTTTTATTTGCCATGCAAAAATGCAACCCTGTATATACAAAAATATTTTTAAAATATGTATTTCTCAAATCCATATAATTTTTATTTGATTTTGTTTTCGTGTCCATAACACAAATTGAAATATTGAACAATCACGCACTAATGGACCACTCTGTAAATTTCAGTGCTACAAAGCCTATTGGCGATTCAAATTAATTTTCGCGCGCCTGTCACTTGTCACCTATAAGTAGGATGTTTGTTTATTTCCATGTGTTTGTTTCGAAGGGATTTTGTATTTGTGATTTTTTAACTGTTTTTAAATAATATTCTCATTATAATAGTGTCCTTGAGTTTCATTTAGTGTAAATTTAAGTTTAGTTTTCGTGCTATTGTCATAAATATAATATTTATCATGTGTATGACTTAATTTGTTGGAAATATTCACCTATTGGTTGCTACACGAACATCTAGAAATATTTATTTATTAAACCCAGGATATGTTTTATTATGTGGTTTAAAGGATATTTCAGGTACGAAACGTTTATTATTGATAAACTTATTTAAAAATCTTACTATCCTTATTCTTATATTATAAAGTGAACAATGTAGTACTTTGTATACATGTAAATGGTAATAAAACCGTCACAAATCAGATTGCAGTTTGATTATAAACAAAATTTTACAAAATCTCAATATTGTGAATTTGTAGATATCCATTTATCGTAGAAACGAAATTTTACGACTTACGCTTGGAAAATAATGAATAATTCAGTTTTGATTTTGACATTAACGCCATATAAATTTAAAGCTAAAAAGTAAGAAAAAATTCGAATTATAATTGATACAAATTAAAATATAAACAATGAACAGGAACCCAAATGTTGCCAAATAAATAAAGAGTATTATTGCATATTGCTAGACACAAATTTTGCTACTTTAAAAAAGGTATTTCCACTTCTTTAAGGGCCTAAAAAATCCGACGACGTAGCGAAATATCCTACCTATAACTTTCACAAATTTCTTCCAGAGGGCGTATCACTTAGCTTGAATCGCGAATACATATAGGTTGCAAAATTTAGATGTTCATCTGTCTTGCTCTAGAAAGGTGCTACCTAACAAGAGCTTGCCCAATTAATTCTAAATCACTGTATAGAAAAAATGTCTTGACTATTTGTTGAAGAAAGACGAAATAGTTCGTGTAATACTCAAAATTCACTAGTTTTGTATCTTAAAAAGTTTCAAAAATATCCACATTCGATATTTAGCCTTATTAATATCATATTGCAACTTTTACTTAAATACCAAAATTTAAATTCAAAAAATTATTATTTTTTACTTTATCACATATTTCGTCTTTTTTAATTAAATTCTAGTGTATACAACAATCAATTACCTACTATTTCGTTCTGTTCGCATGCGCAATCGGTTTTTAAAAAATTTGGGATTCTGATACTTTATAAAAAAACTATGTGTGCATGCGAAGAAAGCGATCGTGTCAATGAACAAAACTTACTGTTGATCCTGTTGGTGCACCGACAACTGGGTCAAATCATCAGCCAAGTAACTGCATTTGCTGCAAGCTCTCTTGTTGTGCACTTTGAGGACGTGCGTCGCAAGCCTTTCAGACCTCGCCGCTTTGTAATCACACAAACCGCACACAAAGGGCTTCAAATGCGTATTCATGTGTCTTTTAAGGCACCAATTATCAACTCCCGACCAAGAGCAGTAGCAGCAACTGAAGCGTTTCTCTCCTTTTTTCTTGGCACTGCCACGCGACAGATTGCCAGGTTTAACGTTCGACTTCAAATCTGGTTGTTGAACGCGCGAATTCATTTGCGGTGTTCTGTTCATACTATTGAAACCAGGTATCGATAAGGAACTTATAGTGGATAGATCGTTAGGTTGGTTCGTTATGCTAGAGTTGTACTTTTGGTAATATGACATCCCAGAAGCGTTCTTAGGAGGATGCCTTCTTATTCTATTCAAGTCATAAGGATGGTCTCTGTGCATCCTAAGAAAATGCTTCTTAACGTGATCAGCTCTGTTAAATTGCTTCTGACAAACGTAGCACTGAAAAGGCTTTTCTTCTCTGTGGATATTTTCGTGCCTTGTAAATAAATCTCTTCTATCAGTAGCGTACGGGCAGAAAGTACAACTGTAGCGCTTAGTTGGCGTACTATTCTGTTCAGCACCAGCAGTATTAGAGTTTCCTAATACTTGCGACACGCCTGAAATACTTGAAGATGTATTACTAAGCGACTGCGTGTGATAATCTTCACTTTGCACCGAACTCGAAGACTTGCCACAATTACTCTCCAATTTGTTCTTTAATTTTTGCAAATATTTAACAATTTCTTGCAGTACCGGGTTATCTTTGGTTAAAGTGTCGCACGATTCATCGGTATTGATATTATGTTGCCTATTTAGATGTATCCTTACACATCTAGCCCAAGCGCTTTCGTAAGGACATTGAGGACATCGGAAAGCTCTTACGCTGGAATGCGTGCCTAACCAATGCTCCGCGACGCGAAGAAGATATCCAACGCAATCGCATTCAGAACATCTGAATAATTTTTGCGCGGGATTATATGTCGCTATCTTAGATTGAGTCCATTGCAAGCTTTCCTCGCTGGTTAACCATTTATCCTCAAAAATATTGGCGACTATATTTCCCGTGTTAGATGGTTTATGCACTGGAAAATTCGGATTTAATATCCCACTAGGTGGAAAACCATTTTGCATCAAAGCGGCTAGGCCGAAAGCAGTTAAATGATCGTCAGATTTTAAGATGGGATTATCAACTTCATACTCTATTGGTGTTAATCCACGATCTTGGTTAGCTGATGGAACACGATCGTTGCCACTTAGGTCAGGTAAACCGTCTTCGCCATACAGTTTCCTGGTGATCTCTTTAAACATGTCCTCATAGCAATCGATGGCACTGCCTGTCATAGGCATTGCCACTTCCATGTTGGTGTTAACAGCCTCACGCTGGAGGCTTTAGGACCTAAAATTCACAACACAGTCATCATAATTATTTACACTATTAGAGCTGCAGAGAATAAAAAGAAGTGATTTTGAAATTAAAAGTGTTCAACTATATGAGACTTCAGCAGTGATGGACTCGTTACAGCTTGAGGGTGGCCCAGCGAGCACAGCCCATTTAAACCGTAGAATGTATGGAATAATGAGAAGGAGTAGAGCATCCAATAAGCCATGCGAATCAAAGAGAAGGGAAAGCAGGCTGGACCTCAAGCCTGATTAAGCGGAGCCAGTGGCTGAATCCAAACCTGATTGGGGAATCAGCTGGAACCCCTCATGGAGAGTAGAGAGATGCATAAATGGGCGAAAAAAATATGAGTTCAACTTAGTTCTGAAGGTAGAGAAAATGTAATTTTTGAATATAGGATAATGAAAGGGAATAAAAGTCTAAAACAATAAATAAACGGGACCAACAAATGTACTAACATTATAAAACCAATGAGATGATGTTGAAAATATAGTGCGAAAATATTGAGAATACTATATGGACGTATAAAAGAAGGACTATGGACGTTGGACAAATAAAAATAGAAATGAAAGCTAAGAAACACGGATTAATTAAAGTGATTAGTGTAAAGTTAGAAATATATTGCCATAAGGAAGAACTATATTAAAATAGGTTTTGGATAAACGTATAAGAATAATAATGCTCCCAAGAAAAAGTGGTAGACAACGTGAAAATAGATTTAATAATGTTAGGAATAAAAAATTGAATAGAAGCAACCGCGAATAAAGCAAGAAGGCAAAAAACACTGGATCCCTTGAGCTATTTTATGTATAAATTTATGTAAAACAAAGAAAAATATATAACATCTAAATAAAAACATTATGATAATAAACAAATAGGACAAAAAACTTCTTGTTAATCTCTTCAGTATAATTTTTTTTTAAATAGTTACCAATATTATTTTATAAAAACGTGCTTTTACACACGACTATCATACAAAATTTTATCTACGACTCAATACTATAATTATTACAAATTAAATAAAGAATCTTTATTGAAGAATAAAGATGTATTAATAACAATATCGCTTGAGAAGTTATAGTCTATGTAATATTTCTAGAAAAGATAAAGGGAGCATCAGAAAGGCAGACTTTCGTCAAATTTTAGGTTATTTGTTTTGAGAAGGACCCAAGAACTAGTTTTACAGGCATAAACAGTAAAAGAATGTATTTTTATATAAAGAATTTGTTAAAATATAAAAAGTGTAATGTAATGTTTGCTTGCAGATCTTATAGATAGTCTCAGAATCGACAAATTAAACTTTTTTAATAAAATAAAATTTTTACAATTCAGAATTAATATTTACATTATTTAGCGTATTCACAAAAAAATGCAACATTTTTGTTTTTTGTTTTTTGTTTTTAATGTTCATTTCATTGGAGCCAAATAAATTTAAATTTAGCAGCGCCAATGGAATTCCTGCCGCCAACCCCTGCTACTAAAGTATGAATTCACTTTAAACACTTCGACGTCTAACGTCAGCAATAACAACGGAGTTTTATTACAACAAATGAAATGAAAAAGCACGTGTAAATAGTACCTAAAAAATGTACAAGGTACTCAGTATCTAGCCCTAGTACATAGACTATACCTAATCCGACCAATGTAACTAGAATCGACTTAAAAGGGTGAATGTAAAACAATGTTTTTGTTTACTATAAAATGATCGTAGATAAAAATTGATACAATCAGACTTTAAGCGGAAATTGACGCTTTCTGTTTATTAATTTAACAAAATATTAATTGAATATATATGTAAAGTTCCCACTGTTTTCTATGATAAAATACAAATACCTAAATAAAACAAAAATAATATGGTTATGTTTAATATGTAAATAAATTTTACTAGTTTAAAGTGTGACTTTAATCGCTACTTTATTTTAATCACTGGCTACTATAATATAAAACAGAAGCAATTATTTTTCCAGCAAATGCTTTGTAATGTAATGCTTTCGTGTAGATTAAAAGCATTGCATAGAAGCTATTAATTTTGTTTATACTTAATACTAAGAGTAAATGCTATTTTTATTCACATATGACTCATTAGCTTAAAAGCTGCATCTATAAAAATGTCATGAAACTAAAAATATGATAATGAGCTTTTTTCTAGTGTGGTAACTCTTGAATATTTATTAGATACGTTTGGAATGCAGTTTTGAAAACCTATCATAACAAAAAATATATCCCGGCGGGTTGAACGCCATGACATCTGTCATTAGTGTCATTAACGCATATGATTGATTACATCCGTCAAAAAAGAATCAAACTTTCTAGCCCGATCACGGTCTGCGCTACTGAAGTTATTGTCAAAACAGCCCCGGTATGCAAGGATAACACTGACACTTACCACGTTGTACAACGTAGGCAATCTCTGCATCGACATGACAGCATCTCCTGTTTCACCGGACCACAATCACAATACGAATTTTACGCGATTTCACTTGAATTAACGACAGAATGCACCGGGAAATATTGGAACAGGAGCAAACGCATGGAACGCTTACTCCTACGATGTCTGACCCACCCAATACTGCGGCACCCACTGCCCGCCTAGGGCTTCCTGCCCTCCCCCTCCCACACCCCAAAACCACCCCACTATTGCGCCCGACCCGACTACCCTTGCCAACCACCCACTTAACATCCTACACAGCCCTCGCCCCGCGATGTTGCCACACACCTCTTTCCCCTTTTGATGATAAGAAATTACTCTTTTGTCATCTTCGAATCATCCATCGTCTGGATTTGATTTATGGCCATTCGATTTTTCGACAAAGCCAATTATGTTGTTTGTCGGTGACTGATATCAATACCTATTTAAATGTTTAATTCTACATATAAGACAGACCATTTGCCGCTAGAAATAATACCCTCATTTTTACTATTATCATTATTATTATTTGATTTTGCTAAGTTTTAAATTATGTTTGTTTTCGTTTACAGGGTCCTCCAGCACTATAACTCCTATTTTATGGCTGGGAAATATGTTCACGTGTACAATAATTAATTGAACGATTTGTACAATCTTTGTCCTGGAATAATGTTTTATTATTTTCAGTTTTTTTTAACTATTAATTTTCTCAATTTTGTCATTTTACTTAAAAAACTTACAAAGGACTCCGCAGTTTGCATAGGGCTTCGGATCGAATCTGCTGGATTTTATATATTGTTGCAGTTTTTCTACGAATTAAAAGTGCCCATGGGCACAAAATTCTTCTATGAACAGTTTTTAAGATCAAAGGTGTTGAACTTGTGAATTCTCATAATTTTCAAAAATACGTTAAAACGTTATTTTGCTGAATTTCATAGATATAAAAAGTTACGGTTTGACTCTCTAATATATTGGTGACTACTAAAATATAATAATACCAAAGTTTTTAAAAAACAAATATACAGGGTAGGTAATTTTTTTAATTATTGTAGATAAATTGCAAATTTAAAAAATCGTTAAACGCCTAAAATAATGATTATAAATAAATTATTTATAAATAATTATATAAGTATGTGTGAACCACACTTTATTATTATATAAAATATACGTATACGGAGTGAGCCAAAAAGTTGGTCCAGTGAATGTTGCGATTTTACAACATATCCTGTATATATTGTAATATATCCTAAATAAGTCACATTAACAACCATTCTTCTGACATCGCATACAGGGAGAGTAAAATCAGCAGAAGGTAGTAATTAAATTGATCGCACACAGAAAAAACTAGTTGTCGGAATATGGATTAACTCATGAAAATAAACTTGTTAACACTGTTGTTTTAATATATTGTAACGTTTATTTAATTTATTTATAGTTTATTTATTTAAAACATTTTATTTATACGTACTAATTAATTTATATAATACTTAGACACTATTATAACTCACAATTCCAATTTATTTATTACAATTTGTCTTTACTGTCCAACACTTAATTTGAATCTTCACCTATCGACAAAGTTGCAGCTATTTATATAAAAATGTAACGGCCCAGAAAGAAACAATCCTGCTGGAAGAATAGTGAAGCCGCGAGACAAGAGATTCTCGTCTCTCGTCTCGTCTTGTCTTGTCTCGTCTCGTCTTGTCTCGTCTCGAACAAGACGAGAGAGACATTTTTTCTCGAAAACAGAGTCAAGACGAGACGAGAGAGTGTCATCTCTCGACGAGAATTTCTCGTTTTTCTCGAGCTCTCTCGAACCAATTTTTCTTTGTTTATTTGAAATTTTCAATTGCCTATCGTAACTTAAAATTTTAACATATTAGATTTCGAGATAGTCAAAAAATTTACTATAACACACCTATTCTATATATATTAAAAGGTAAAAAATGAAACTTGTGTAGGATTTTATAAATAGTGATTTATAAGCAAAAATATTTCTCATTTCATTTATTTAAAATTTATACAATCATTTCTTATATTTAATCCATTCTGCTATTCTGAGGTTACTTTTGAAGAAAAGTTGAAAATTTTTAAGCGTTTTTTTCGAAAAACTGTCAAAGAAAAGGTAATACAAACGAATGTATTATATACAGTGAGGACGAAAATTGTACCCTCCTCTATTTTAACTTCTAAATGAAAAAGGATAATGACAAAACAAAAACTAGGTAAAACTCAAGACATATTATATTTTTGTTATAACGAGATGCACTTTACTTGAGACACGTAAGATGGAGGCAGTTACTAGCTTTAAATTTTCTAATGGAAAGTAGGGTCATGTGATACCTCATTTGAAAGATATTTTCTATATTTTTACGTTCATGTAAACAGATTTAGGTTTTTATGTTTTTACAGAAATTACATTAAATAAATTCATAAAGTAGGTTAAATTCTTTTTTTATTTACCGCTTCAACATCAAAGAATCATTACCGGAGGTATAATACCTTATAAATGCTGTTTCTTACAATAGTATACAATAATTAACATTTTGGCTA